TCCACAAACATCTCGAAATTCCAGATGACCTTGGCAAGCACGCTCTTCATCTCCAGCATGGCGAATCGCTGGCCTGCACAAAATATCATTGACGATAAGTCAATTAAGCTGGTTTGGTTGTAAACGAACACACAATCTGATGTCGTAGGCTTCCGCGGCCAGAGTCATGATCTGGACTGTCCGGGTGACGCCGCGTCGATGGCTGATGTGCCGACGTTTCGATGTTTCCGCGACATGTCGGTCGAAACGTCGGCACATCAGCCATCGATGCGGCGTCACCCGGACAGCCCAGATCAGAACACACAATCTCACACACTTTGCAGTGCTGTAAAACAATTTCTTAGCATGTTAAACTACAATTGAAAAAAAAATAGTTTTAAAAACACCATGGTTTCAAATATCTTATTATATATAGAATAACTTTGAATAGAATTGGTTATATAGCATTAAAGTTGAACGATACACCAGTCAACAATGCGTCAATCGTTACATAATGGAATATTTTTGTCAAAAGCACTTCTTAATCTAGTACTACTATAATCGGTTACCACAAAAACAAAAATGCCACCATTTACAACTATTTAATTACTAATTAATTACGCAAAATCTAATTTAATTGTTCTTCAAACTTCCACATAATTATTTGTGACCTAGCCCTTTAGATGAAAGCAGGTTCTACCACTATCAGTTATCACAAAAACGCATCATGTTGAACGATATTTTTACTTTCTCGTGTATATAGTTAAGCGCAAGCATTGCAATGCTCCAGGAAAAAGGGTCAAATTTGTCGTCAGACAAACCGGTTTCTTGTACCGGATACCGTAAAAGCCATTTTTTTTTTTTTTGTGCTTTTACTTGTAAATTATATTTTCTCTAGTATGTTGTATGCTCCGATTTCTTCAAAATTGTATATTTAAATGAGGTCATTTAACGTTTTCAAAATATGAATAGTATTCGCGTAATTTTGAGTAAAATGTGTGCAATATTTTAAAAAAATAGAAAAACAAGATTTTCTCAGAAACGTGTCAAATGTTTTTTCTTTAATTTTTTGCGCGGATAGTGCGCTGAATAATTTTGACACAAAAGGAATTTAAATGTATTTTGATGTAAAAATGCTGAAGCGACGTTTTCTTAAAAACCGCTCCAAACTCTTTTGTGAAATATTCTCCTTGTGCGCATCCAAGGGGGGGGGGGAGAAATATAGCGCTAGACCTTTTTTCGGCGAACACTTCCTCTTTTCAAAAATCGTAAAAAAGTAACATTTCAAAACTACAAAATTGAAGATATCTAATTTTGGCTTCAAAAACACTATTCTAAAGAATCATTTTACAAAAAATCAGAAAATGAATACCTTAATGACACTTGATCATCTACTTATCAACAAAAAGTGTTAACATTTTGTACAAAAATATTGTTATTTCAAAGATTTATGATTGCATTTAATTAAAGTATTAGTCGATCATGCCCTTTGTAGATTATGCGACTTAAAATAACTTTTTTAAAAAAAAGACCATGTACAATTTCTTGTAAACCAGAGTAGATTTCGCGTTATTTATGTCTATACTATTTCTTTTTGTCTCCTCGAACTAGGCAATCCAATAACATTCAAAATATTTTATCAACGTGTTAGAAGAAGAAACTTAAGTGGCGTAAAATGGGCATCAAAATAAACGGACGAATATTAAACAACCTCAAGTTCGCAGATGATATAGTACTACTAGCAAACTCCCACCATAAACTTCAAAGAATGTTAGAAGAACTAAATGAAGAAAGCCGAAAAACAGGACTTAAAATAAACCTAAATAAGACCAAAATCAGGACAAATTGCAAGGAACTACCAATAAAGGTGGATACAAACCAAACAGAGTATGTTTTGAATTATGTATACCTAGGTCAATTGATACCTTTTAACAACAGACTGAATATACACACAACATATTTTAACAACAGTGAAATTACTAGACATATCACTTTGGCAACGCAAAAGTTTTGGAGTCCATCTTTTATCATATTGGACAAAAACTAGGTCTAAAACAGAAAAGAGATATATTGTACTCCTATATTTTATCAACATTAGTCTATGGGAGTCAGGCTGATCGCTATCTGCAACACAAAAGATGCAATTATCAAGATGCCAGACAAAAATGGAGAGAAAAATTGTTAACATTTCTCATCAAGACCACGTTAAATGTATGGAAATAAAAAGTAAAACCAGATAAAATATGTAATAGAATCTTATATACCATATATATGAATACCAATATATATGAATATTATTTTGAGCTATGACGGCAAATCCTGCAATCAATCTTACCTTAATATGTGTAACAAAATTTA